CACTCTTCATGCGTAAGGCCCACCCCGAGGGAGTGCTGGCAAGGATGGTCTCTCTGCTCTCATTCTGGGTCCACAACCCAGCCGGCGTGCAGAGTGCAGAGGTTTGCACGCTAGCTACGACCTTTTGGGCTCAGCCGACACAGAAGGAGCAAAGACTTTAAGAACTTTCCACATGGTGAGTGAAAACTGTAGGCCAACGGTGTGAGCTCGTGTCAAGGCCTGGGAAAGCGTTGGGATGTGGCAGGCCAGCTGTACAGGAAGCAACTAGCATGCTGCCTCCGTAAACGAGTGTGGTGGGTCCTAGACACTATTTCCGGGGACCAGGTTCTTGATCGACAGAATTGACCAAGGAGCTGGAGCAAACCGTGCAGTCTGCTCACTTCCTTGCCTGCTGGGTCCATGTGAGAGAGCCCTGGAAGCAGCAGGAACAGCGTGGCTGGGTCACCGGGCATGGTTCTGGCCCCATTCTCAGTAACTATCGTGGCTTTCTGGGGTTTCACGTGTCCCTATGCCAAGTGGGAGCAGATGGACAGAAAGAGAAAGTTGGTAATACAGACAGGTGCTGATTTCACGGTTCCATCTGCAAGCCGAGTTGAGTTTCTGTGCTACAAAGTTCCCTCTGAATGGACCTTCCCGGCCTCTCAGGACTTGGAGAAATCCCCCTTTGACAAGGGGAAAACTTGTAAAACTGTCGCCCTCGCGTGACTTACCGGTGTCCTAGGACAATGATAAAGGCAGCTGCAGAAATACTAAATACTATAATTTGCTGGGAGGTTTGTGAGAGGTAAGCATGAATCACTTGATTCTGACACTAACGGTCAGGAGTGCTCTGGAGCAGAGAGATTAAAACACAAGCTTAGAAATTCAGTTAGGCTCAACCCCCCATCCATCACTTGGGACCTCTGTGGGCATCGATGGGCCTGGTCTCAGATGCCCTAAAAAATGGAGATCGAATGGGGTGGCCTGCATGCAAGCCTGGGAACAAGTCATCTTTAGATGAATGGCAGGTCCTTCCCATTCTCTGCCCTTCTCAGTGAGACTGCAGTCCAGCTACAGGGCTGTGACCTTCTCATCCGAGGTAACGATCAACCTGTGTGTCTACAAGGTAGAGAGCTGCCTTCCCACCAGCCCATTCTCTTCTCGGGGAGTTTCGAACTGCTAACCCTGTGGTTAGCAGCCCAACTCATAATCCACTATGCCTTCAATGTACAATATAGCTATGAAGATTGTTTTAATGTTCTTATCTGCTTGTTCTAACTTAATAGCTCTGGATTCGTTTTT